TCCCAGGAGCAGCAGTCGGCGGGGGGTTGGAGAAGCTTGCCCCGCTGTCCCCTCTGTCCCCCTCCACCAGCACCTTGTGCCGCTGCCACCTCCAATGAGCAGGGTCAGGGGTGAGGCCAGCACCCTCCGCTCCATTTCCTCTGTCCCCACCGACATGGCGGCGCTCCGTGGAGCGCTCTGTGCAGAGCACTCTGATTGGTTGTTTCAGTAATCATTGTTATTGGCTGCCAAGACAAGCAATCAGAGTGCTCCAAGAGCATTACAGACAGACAGACAGACCAAGCCCTTTATATGTATAGAATTATTGAGATTTTATTAATAGTGATTTTCTGGACATATACACACACTCATCCCAAGCACAGTTTAGTATGTCAGGGAGGGTAGCGGAGCAAAAAACCCAAGAAACTGATTTTTAATTGGTCTGATGTATAAGATCTGCATGAGAGATCCCATTTTGACTGATTTTGAGGGTAGAACAGAGCTTCTGTAGACCTTAATATGTCTGGACTTACATGGCTGGTGAGATGGGAGAGTTACACCTGCATAAGATAGGAAGGAATGTGGCATTGTGGATAGTGGCATGGCAGGTTTTTCTCAACATTGAAAACTGATTGTCTGGTGGAAAGATTCTGATTGACTTAGTAAGAGGTGAATAGGGCACCTACAGCTAGATAAGCAGAAAGGTAGCATTTGAAATTAAGCATGGAACAATCACTTCAACTTTGAAAATGTTTTATAAACCTTTATTTATTAACTTAGCTAATTAATAAAGATAAGAAATGTAGATACATCTTAAGTTAAAATAAGGCTGAGAGAGGCCAATAACTCGAATTTGGAAATGCAGAGTTTATTTGACCTTATAATATTTGTATTTTTGAAAAAAATTACACCTAAATTCCATGTAGAATTTTATATATTCATTTGATCATGATATGATTCAGCCCTGTTCTGCTATGTGTTAATGACTATAACCGGATGTTTTAAGTGGGAATTATGCAATCTGGAGCCTTGGAACATGTGGGTTTATATCCCAAACGTCGTCTTCTTGTAGGAGCTTGGTTGTTTCTTATCTGTTACTCAATTCACTATTTTTAAACACTGGGACAATAAGACTTCCTTCCTGGCACCATTTTTCTATCTCATTTATTTAGATGTTAAGCTCTTCAGGATAGGAACTGTCTTCTTCTATATGACTTTACAGCACCTAATACAGTGGGACTTCACAGCAGTACAGTAATATGAACTTACTAGGGTATAGGTCAGGGATCACCAACCCACAACCCATGGAGACTTTGGATCTGGCGTGCAGCTGTGTCTCTGGCAGCATTCAGCACTGGAGTTCTCCCATTGTGCTATGCTACAATGGGGCACCTAGAACTCTGGTGGAGAGGGAATGCTGCCTACACTGTGCCACAGTTGGATCCCCAGGGCTTTGGCAAAGGCCATTTCTGCCCATGCCACACTCCAGTCAGGTGGTATGAGTTCTGGCAGATAGGGGCATGCAGCATTCATGATATGAATCACATAGTCCCTGCTCTAGCCTTTCCAGGATGGGTGTTACGTGCAGCCCAAATCCCAGAGTGGGTGCTGTATGCCAGTGCTGGATACAGAATGCAGAGGGGAGAAGTCCTTGGGTCCTTCCACATGCCAGATTCAGTGCCTGCTCTGCTTGGTCTCGGACTGTGCTGCACAGTGCCTGCTTCAGCTGATTTAGGATCTGCGCTAGATGTCACCCACCCTGGACTGGCTGGAAGGGGTTCTATGTGCAGCTTGTGTCCTGGACTGGCCAGAGTGGGTGCTGGATCCAGCATGTAGTGTGGGAGGAGTTCCATGTGCCCAATCTGCTCTATAGGCCTGGTCCTGTGCCATTCATTGCAGAACCAGATGAGTTTGACACCTCTGCTCTAGTTTTTTTAAGTCCCAGCAGGAACATCACTACATTCTAGTCAACATTCCCAGCCTTTTTTGTGGCCAAACCCAATGCTTCTAAGGAAGGTGGAAGCAAGTTTGTCCTGTAGCCCTCCAGTCAAGTTTGTCCTGTAGCAACAGGACAAAAAATTCCTTTCTGCCCCCATGTGGCAACCAGCAAAGCCCAAGTGCATGGGATAGCCAGAAACTTTTCATGCTGCCCTGCAACCAGGGGACCACTAGCATGATTCCACACATTTAAAAAGTCTCCTGACTATTGTTTACTGGAAACTTAGGGTCTTTACATTCAAATTCCAAGAAGTTACCCAATCTGGAGAAAGAATCTTCTCCCAGAGCTTCAACTATAGCTCTGTTAATTGGAGAGGAGCACGGACATGACAGCAGACTTCAAATACTTGAAGGGCTACCATGAAGAAAAGGGAAAGCACCTTTTCTCTCTTGCTGCAGAGGCAGACACAGACCAATGGCCTGAAGTTGCAGCAAAGTAAGTTTGGATTGAATATTTGGAACAATTTCTTCACCGTTAGAACAGCAGACTGTCTAGGGAAGTTGTGGACTGGAGGTGTTCAAGAAGGTCACATCACTGGAGGTGTTCAAGAAGAGGTTGGACAGCCACTGTCAGGGATGATCTAGGAGTAGCTATCCCTATGTATTACCCATGCTTCTGGGCTTCGCTGGTTGCCTCCCCGCCACACCCCTTTCACCTCTCATCTTTTCTGCTACACATGCTAAGGTGTTTTTAAGCCAAAGTCAGACCAATCACCATATTTGGGGTCAGGAAGGAATTCTATCCCATGGTCAGATTGTGGGTTTTTTTGCTTTCTTCCATAGTGCGGGGTGTGGCCCTGTACCCAGAATCTCTTGATCATATATTTACAACATTATAAGTGATTGGAAGCTGGTTCGAATCTATAACACAAAAGAAATTCAGTGTACATAAATGGCTTTTGAAATGGCTGAAACTGGTTTAAGATAAACCTGCATGGATGTAGTATCAGACATGACTGATTTAGGTCAAATTGGTTTAGCAAACTTCTGCGCTAGATCCCCTCCAGTCAAGTTAACTCACAGTCCCTCAGCATTCCAGGATGTTTTGCACCGCCCCGCAAACCCCCACCCCCCACAGTGTGGGCGGGTTAGCCTTGGTTCAAGGTGTCTGCTCTTGTGGAGCAGGGAGGTCTGTGATAGCTTCTGACCTGGGCCACTGCAGGCATGTGGCTGCATTTCTGGAATCAAAAGGGAATGTCTGGTCACTTGCCTATGGGTTCAATCTATGCAGTTTAGACTAACCTACGAGACTGAATCAATTAGCCTTGGGTTTTTTGACTGTCTGTACTTATAGAAGCAGGACATTGGCTGCCGTGGTTCCCCTGCTTTACCTGTGGCAGGTTAGGGTAGGTTTATGTTGTGTCATGGTTGAAGGTAGTCTCACGTAGAATTTAGATCAGCAGTTCCCAGACTGTGGGTTGCGACCCCAAATGGGGTCACAACATCAGCAGATAGGGTCACAGAAGTGGGGAGTTGGGAGTGAGGGGCCATACTGAGAAAATGGGGTCATAAATGGGGTCATGCTGAGGAAAAGTTTGGGAAGCACTGATTTAGACTATGTTTTGTTGGAATAGGGATGATCCTGCCTCAGGCAGTGGGTTGCACTACAATGGTTCTCAAACTTTTTTGTACCAGGACCTATTTGTAAACATCAATGGCCAGTCCTGACCCAGTGGCCCTCACTCTCCCTACCCCCAGGCCCCAACCCCCCAGTGTGTGGGGTATGGGGCAGGAGGGGGCCCCAAGCAGCCCCTTGCAGGCTGGAACTCTGCCAGCCTACAAGGGAAAAGCCATGGTTTCTCACTTTTGCCACCTTTAAAAGAGAATCCATTTTTAAAGCTTTTTTGCCACCCTTTCATATATTCCTGCGACCCACATTTGGGTCACAACCCACAGGTTGAGAAACACTGGACTAGAAGACCTCTGGGGTCCCTTCCACCCCTGCTTCTCTGTGATTGTATGACATCTAGATATAACTTGCCAAGGTGACTCCTCCTGGTCACTTACTTTGGTCATACTTAAATATAGGCCTAGTTTGGTCTGTGTGCTGGGGAGGAGGAAGGGTGGTGGAAACTTCTGCCTTTTACATACAACACATTTCTCTGCCTTTTGGCTCAGATCAAGCGTAGTTCCTATACTTACCTGGCAGGGGAAACACCGTGACAACCAAGGCAGCTTTCCTAGTTGCAGCCGAGGACAACTACTCTCCTGGCATGGGGGTAGGAACTGTGAAGGTAATGTATAGTTAATCTCCCACTTAGCTTCTGGAGTGGAAAGATCTTGGCTTTATGCCCACTTTATGGAAATGGGAGACTCCTCCCTAGCTTGTTCCTGCAGCCATACAGCTAGGGCAAGCAAAACTTCCAGGGCAGCTGAACCCCAAGCCTCCAGGCTTGAGCCTGCACGTAGGATGCCCGCCAAAAAATTTGGAAACATCTGAAGCCCCCGCTGGGGGCGGAGGATGTTTGCTGCTAGTAGGGCCACTTATGGTTCTGGACTGACTCATGGATTTGGAATTGATTTGGCTTGGAACACAGAACATTAAAAATAAAGATCTGTTCTCATGGACCCTGCTGGCAGATGAAATCAAGAGCACCAGGGTGCAATGCTTTCTTCAGACACAGAGTGCCACCAAAAGGCAAAACGCCTTCCCCTGGCACAGGGGTATATGTTATAGCTGGTCTGGTCTAAGGAGGCCGTAGGCAGACAAGGCTCTTTGGGTAAATCGGATATCTTTTGGAAGTCTCATAAAAGATATTGGATTTACTCAAGGAACGGTGTCACCCTGGCACAGGAACGAACTGAGTGCGTCGTGCAGCAGGCACACGACCTCCACGGCCGCTGGTGCAAGGCAAGGCACAGAGGGGCTGTGCAGCCTTACAGAGAAGCTAGGCACTGCGCCCCCCAAGCTTGTGCGGGTCTGGGAGCGGCAGCGACGAGGCGGGCACCACTCGCATCTCCAGCTTTAGTAGCGGGGATGTCGGGGGCGGGCCCAGTCCCTCCCGCGGCGGAAGTCAGCGCACGCGGCCGAGCGGGGGAGGAGCCGCAGCGCCCGGCCTCCGCCTGTGCTATGACTCACCCGTGCCCGGACCCCAAGTCCGCCAGCCCCAGCAACCCGCGGGCCTTCTTCGATGTCGACGTCGGGGGCGAGCGAGGTGCGGGCGGGGACGGGACGGGACACTGGGGTCGCCCGCCCCGGAACGGAACGTTCCCGGCCCACCGGGGGGGCGCGAGCCCCGGCGGGGAGAGCACGTTCTTGGGCACAGGGGTAGCGAGCCCCTAGTGGGGCATGGAACGTTCCGGGCGGGGTCAGGAACCCCTAGTGGGGAATGGAACGTTCCGGGGCCGGGCGAGGGGAGTCGCGAGCCCCTAGTGGGGAATGGAACGTTCCGGGACGGAGGGTTGTGAACCTCAGAAGGGGACTGGGACGTTCCTGGGCGCGAAGGGGTAGCAAACCCTAGTGGGGAATGGAACGTTCCCGGAGGAGCAGACGTTTGGGGGGGGCGGGTGGAGTGGAACGTTCTGGATGGGAATGGACCGTGCCGGCCGGCCCGCCTCGCCCCGCGTGGAGCCCGCTTACAGGGGCCGGGTTCCCGCTGTCCGCGCGGGGCGGAGCGAGGCGAGCTGCGGCTGGAGCCCTTCCCCCAGCAGTGAAGCACCGGCTCCGATCCCCAGGAGGGGGCACTGGGGATCCCAATGTGTGGCCGTGCTTAGGACAGAGGAGCCTGGCCTGGCCTGGCTCGGCTCTCTTCGGTACTTTAGGAGCCCAAAGGAGCGCCCTGCGTGCCTATTGGGCTGCCCCCCACACCAGCTCAACTTGGCTCAAACACCAGGGGCAAGGCTGGGCTGGGTGCACCCTGTGTGGGGTGTGACCTAGCACCACCCCCTGCCCCGCTGCATCCCCATCACTGACCCACCCGCTCAGTGGAGAAAGGGCTATAAAACCTGCCTGCACCATGTCCTGCCTTATGCTGCCCTGCTGCGCCTTCACATGAAAGCTGGGTAGTAACCAGCTGTAGAGTTGTTCCCTGTTTTCAAGCACTGATGTTCCAGGTGGCTGGTTCTCTCTGGAGCTGGAGACCCCTTTATTTTAAAGTGGGTGATAAATACTTTGCCCATGTGGCTGGTCTGAATATACTGCACCATTCACCCATTGATTGTATAATATATAGAAGGTGAAGCTGGGGCTACAGGATAGCACATGTATTGCCTGTGGGTGCAGAGGGGGACTTGTTTCCTAGGGGGGTCTGTTTGGGGAGGGTGTGGAAAAGACAAGTTACAGATCCAGTGGCAAGTCTCAGGATCGCTAGTTAGTTACCACTGCAGGAAGATCCCCCAAAACTATCCAACCTGTGTGTTAGGCTCCTGGCACACATTACATGTAAGGTGCAATTAACCAGTTGATCCTGTCCTAAGTTGTGACCTAGCCACATGTTAAAGCAGTTCCTGGTGTCAAGGAATAAACCACAAAGTTATTCCAGAAAAAAAATGCATACCTTTAAAAAAAATTAGTTGAGCCATTTCACTTGCGTTGTAATTGCCTAGCTAACTATTAATTGCATTATTCAAAACAGGAAGCTTAGAGAAGAGTTTATTAAATGCTATCTTACCAAATGGTAGTCACTTATTTACAAACACTAATTTGTTTTTGCTTCACTATTAGATTTACTACTCTTACCTGTTGTTTTCAGTAGAATGACAGTATCTTAGGCAGTTACTTGAGAGCTGAAAAACTGACTGTCAGGCTGATGAGAAAACAGAAGATCTGAGAAGCCACCTTATGAAAAAGTGAATGTTTTAAGGATTCATTGACCAGCTGTAGATTAACTAATTTGCTAAGTAAAAACATACATTTATCATAGTAGATTTGTGTAAAGGGAAATTGCTTACTCTGTATCTTAAGCTACACGAACACAGTGTACTCCATTTAAATGTGTATCTTTGATACTGAAAACAGGCTATGCACTCACCCACAATACATATGTACTTACTCAGATTGAATGCTTGTTAAATACACAGCGTTGTCAAGATCATGTCATTAGCAGCTATGGAACTGACTAGAATTCATTTTCCAGGCTTCTAATAGTTGCTATTAGCACCAGTG